ATACCTGATAATCATCGTCATTTTGGTGCTCTGTGGGTTTGACTTTCAAGATGTCTCAATGAAGAAAAACATTTTGTTTCCCAAAGTCTGCTTTATGGCAGTTGCACCCTGAATGATAGCACCAGGATGACATTCTAATCAGTTCAGTTAAATAAGGAAGTTCTAGGGCTACAAAAATCACTGGTGACTTGGGGTTATCAATGCTTCAACACTGAACGTTTTGAGTTCACAGTATCAGCTAAAAGTAGGTATTGGCAGAAGACTCTTTCCACAGCAAGTTTGAAAGGGAAAATTAGACAGGTAAGAGACCAGTTTGAACAACAAAAAAATAGATTTGGTTATCAATTTCCTATTGTGCCAACTTTGCCACATTGAGGAACTTGGTATCAAAGGACCTGGATGTGAGTCCCAGATCTTGTCATCTGCAGGACCTTGGACAAATTACCACTCTACTCAAGCCCTCAGTTCTCTGATCCGTAAAATGACAAAGTTGGCCTAAATCATCTCAAAGGTACGTTCTAGGATTAACACTCTATGATTTTGAGATTCCATTTCTAAATGAATTCTTTCTACATGTTGCCCTCCACTCCTTGATTCCTTCCCCCTGTAAATTTACAGACCTATTTTTCAGGGATTAACACAAAAATGTCAAGCAGTTGGATCTACACAAGTCATTTACTTTGCTGCTTATCATTGTCTGTAATAGAACTGAGTTCATAAACAAAGAGCTGCATTGAGAGCAGACATGTTGCTAATGCAGATTTTAAAAATCATGTTACTTCTAACTTCTATTTTCAAAGAGATAAATATCGGTTAAGGAAGCAGAAAAAGCAACTGCAAAAATTCACAAAGAGTGCCATGTAAAAATGGAACATTTTTGTAAAAGTATCACAGAATCATGAGAGGCAGCATAAAATAGTTGAGAGAGAGCTGGCCTTGGCATTAGGAAGACCTGGGTTGAATTGTCACTTCTAATCTCTAACACATATTAGCTGTATAACCCTGAGCAAATCACTTAATCTCTCCACAGCCCAGGCAACTTTTTAAGACCTTGAGTAGAAAAGAAGATGCTGATTTGTACTAGGAGAGGGAATTCTTCACCTGGAGCTCCCTACTGGAAATTATAAGTCTAGTAAAAATTATATTACATATTTTATATATACATATATAGGTACATATGCATATATGTGTATATATGCATATGTATGTAATAGAATATTACAGCAGGAAGGGACTTCAGAGATCAAATAATCCCTTGATTTTATAGTTATGGACACTGAGATCCAGAAAGACCAAGCAATTTTCTTACAGTCGCACAGCTAGCTAACAGCACAGAAAAGATTCCAGACCATTACTCTGCAGTAGGTACAAGATTTAGAAAAGGAATTTCAAGTCTAAAATTTGGTGAAATATCAAAGGGCACACAAAAATTGCTAATTTTTCACATGATATGAAATAACAGGAGGTCTGTGCAACTGATGATCCTGCTTTATTGGTAATAAACTGCATGATATGCCTTTTTACTTATCACTTATATATATTAATTTCATAATAACAATATCATATGTATTCACTTACGTAAAGAAGTGCCGACTATATTTTCTACTCTTCGCTGCAGATATAAGGTAAATTACTATGGCTGAAGCACCACGTAGTAGAATGAGTATTGGACTGGTATGTAGGAGACCTAGATTTTCATCCTGGTTCCTCTATCACCCTATCTGTGTGACCTTAAGCAAGTTACATGACCTTCTGGAACTCAGTTTCCTGCTCTGTAAAGGGAGGTGGTTGGACTAGGTGATTTTTAGAGCTCTTTCCAATACTTCCCCAAAGTAATGCTCTATGACTATATGATTTACAGGCTTTAATTAGGCTTAAAGCTTCATTCGTAATTAAACATTACAGTCACAGTCAGAGACTAATTGGCTAATTATAGTCATTAGCCTGAAATTAAATCTGAATGATTGTTTATGTATAAAACCTTTCCAAAATCAGATTCACTCATTCCCTCGCCTTGAATTTTACAGTGGGGGTGTAGTGAAAAGCTTCCAACTTGGAGTCAGCAGAGAAGTGGGTTTGAATCCTGCCTCTGACACTAGCAGTGTGACCAAAGACAGGTTCTTGAACTTCACTAGTCAAATGGAGATCACAATAACTGTACTGCCTAAAAGGCAGGGTTGTCTCAGAAGTTCAAACGAGATATTTATAAAGCACTTTGCATACCTCAAAGCACAATGCTACTGTTATTGCCATAACAATAAGGAGTGAAAGGGGAAATCCTCCAGACACTAATGCATGTACAATGACCCTGGATCCTTGTGCCTGGTCCACTTCCTGGCAAATAGCTGCACTTGATGACTTTAACGGAAAGGAGATAAAGTATACCCCAGCTGCACCCAAGAAAAGGGCAGAACAGAGCTGTTCTTTATGAGGGAATCATCACATAATCTCTTTTTCTAATCCAAATTTCTGACATTAATTATCAACTTGTTCAATTCATGAAGCAAACCAAGTCTTTCTGAACTGGTGTGCTGACCTTTGAAATAGAAGGTCAGCGTGGAGTCATGGCTAAAATATGCTCAAGGAAAATTTCACTGAGCTGCCCCAAGTTCTTAGAAATATCGTTTCCTACTGAAACTCACTTGCCCGGCATGTTGGCAAAACACATCATTCCCTAATGGGAGGTGATTATTTTGCATGAGTACCACCAAAAGAAAAGACTGTATTTATAACTGAAGGTTATCAAGACTGGTTTTTTAGCATCTATGCTACAAATGGGATAAGTTTACTTAGACACCCATAAATCAAGTACATACGTAAAATCTACACTTGAACCCCTTTGTGGCAATGTTTCTTTAAGTGTGGCACTGGATTCATGAAAAACTCTGACTTCCCATGGCAGATTATGGAGGCCACCATCCAATGCCATGATATGGCAAACGGAGCACTGGATTGGCATGCAGAAGACCTGAGTTCACATCTTTGCCACGAATCCTGGCTCTGTTACTTACTGCGAGTGGATTAGGCTAAACCACTTTTCCACTCTGTTTCTCAATTTCCTAACTTAGAAAATGAAAAGGTTGGACCTAGACCAAAGCTACCTTGCATTTGCTTTTATAAATATCTGTGTGTGTGTGTGTGTGTGTGTGTGTGTGTGTGTGTGTATCTGGATATGTTGTCCCCCCACGACAATGTAAGCTCCTTAGGGACAGAGTTCGTTTCACTTTTGTCTTAAATTCTCAGCACTCAGAGCAGTTTGGGGCACACAGAATGTGCTTGAGAAGTGCTTGTGGATTGAATGATTGATTGAGTCATTGCTGAATGATCTCCACTGTCCATTCTAGCTCCAAATCTATGCTCCTGTAAATTCCATTGATGTATCGATAAACAAGAGCTGGAACACACCCACTATAGCAAATTAGAATTCAATTCTTTGCTAAAAGTCTTTTTTTCCTTTTGGTGTCAGTCTTCATTTGAGCAAAGGGAACTAAAGCACGTGGAATTCAAGGCAATATCACAGTGAAGACAATGAGAGCAGGAGATGTCCTAAGACTATAGAGATTAGGGTATTAGGGCATGAAAAAAAGATGGAGACTTGGGTGGTTGGACTAGGTGATTTCAAGAGTTCCATGACTGGGATTCTTTCTTAGGTTGAAAAGCCCTTAAGATCTGATAATAGAAAAGATTTGCCTTATCTTTTAAAAATTTAAAAAAAAAATTTAAAGGGTTATTTCCCCTTAAAGCATGGTAGAAGCCTAGCTTCAGAGCCAAGAATGCCTTGGTGCAAACCCTGTCTCTTACACATGTTGGCTCTGTGACCTTGGGTAAATCACTTAACTTTTTTATGGTCCAGGCAACTCTTTAAGACATAAGTTGCAGAGAAGGTGTTGACTATGAATGGTTCAGAAGGCTCCCTACACCAGTCATATCATAGGGGTGGGGAGCCTGCTATGTGGAAAGCAAATGTAGCCTTCTAGGTCCTTGCATGTGGCCTTTTGACTGAGTCCAAGTTTTACAAAACAAATCCTTTTTTATTAAGGGGATTTGTTCTGGGAAGTTTGGATTCAGTCAAAGGGCCACACTCGAGGACCTAGAGGGCCACATGTGGCCTCAAGGCTGTAGGTTCCTCATCCCTGGCTCTAGATATATTTTTTCCCCAATAGAGTTCAATTTAAAGGATGCTAAGAAAAAAAAATCCTTTAAAAATACTATCTGGGGGTCCAAAGAATCATATTAGTGTTAAAGATTCTATTCCTGTTCAACATTCCTGAAGGTCAATTAAGTATTAGACTACAAAGCACTGTATTCACTTATATTCTACCGGTGAGGAGAGAGAGCCACAGTATATTATTACCTCAAAATGGAGTGTCAGCTGTCCTAAGGCCTTCTGCAATGGGGTGAATGGATGCACACCCAATACTATGTGCATCAATCTAGTCGCATTAAGAATTCCTTTACACAGAATTAAGATATATCTAGCAACTCCTGGATACCCTAAACGCAGGCCATTAATAATTTCCTTTGGGATTCATCTCCTTCCTGGAGACCCCAAGTAAACTCTTTCTCATGCCAAAAAAAGAAACCACATCATTCACACACAAGCTCAAAGACACTATACTAGGCTCTGATTTCAGTGGAAGACAATCCTAAAAAAACAAGCACAGAGACACAGGACATGTTACACAAGAAAACCAATGCTAGAGGGGAAAACATGCCCTGAAATAGGAAGGTGACAGACAGTTTCTGTTTTTCTCACATTGTAGGTCAAACTGTAGTTCATTGTTGTTGTTTTTCCCACTGTAAAAAGGTATTCTAATCAACTGCAACAAACACAGTCAGAATATCAGCTATCAATCTACCAAGTATATACATCAGTCATTTTCAGTTGTGTCTGACTCTTTGTGACCCCACCTGGGGTTTTCTCAGCAAAGATACTGGAGAGGTTTGCCATTTTCTTCTTCAGCTCATTTTACAGAGGAGGAAACTGAGGCAAACAGGGTAAAATGACTTGCCTAGGATCACACAGCTAGTAAGTGTCTGAGACTGGATTTCAACTCAGGTCTCCCTGACTCTAGGCTATTCACTGGGCCTCCCAGCTCCCCTAGGTATGTACATACACACACACACATACATACATACATACATACATACATACATACATAAATGACTGTCTATATACATTCAATGGATTGACGATTAAGTCCAGAAAGTGACTGTAGTTTCTGTAGCCTACAAACACTTAGCCCCTGAAGGGCAATGTACCTTCTGAGAGTTGTAGAGTATTTTAAGAAATGCTTAAAAAAAATTACAAAACTTTCTATTACATACCATGTTGGAAAGCAGGTTGTAAATAAAAAGCTGACTGCCAGTGGCAGAGAGCTCAAGTGGGATTCTGTTGGGTTTCAGACGTGTCAATACTTTCAATCTATTTCTTTAAAAAGTTGGCACATAGTTTATTAGAGGGCCCTGCAGGTGTCACTTTGATGCAAGGTTCATTGAATTTTTATCAATGCTACTACACTCATTCATGCTGATTTCACTAAGATTTTAAAATAAGAACCTATATAAGTACGTTCTATCATTCATGGGAATTTTTGGCATCTTGAAGTTTGGAGAGAGAAGAACTTCACTTTCTTTGTAAAAAAGAAAAGATGTAAAAGTAAAAGAACACAACTATGACAAACACTGAAAGTACATGGAGTAAGTGGCACTGTAAATTGGTAAGTTCAGTTTTCTAAATGAGGAGGATGGATTTCTTAAAGGGCACTTGCACATTTAAATCACATATGAAAGTTAAACTAAAGGGGGTAAGGGACACAAATGGTCACTGCCATCCATTTGCGTGGGGAAGGCAGCGTTCCCCTTGCATTGTTTTGTGTTACTTTTTGCAGGTAGTTATGATCACATTTGTCTGATACAGTGGTGAAAGGGGGAAGTCTCCTCCTTAGTACTCCAGCTCTTCCATGACTTCCATGACGATAGTCCGAGGGCCAGTCAGAATCAGATTGCTCACAGTCCGGTAGTCAACATGCAGGACATTGAGACCATTCACAGAAACAACGAACTGACAGACCTGAGAAGACAAAGATAAAAAGTGCTTTTTTGAGATCAAGGCTCTTCACAAAAATTTATTCAACTTTAAAAAGAAAAAAATATATTTTATTGACATATATACACATATATATGTATATATGTAGAGAGAGAGAGAGAGAGAGTGTGTGTGTGTGTGTGTGTGTGTGTGTGTGTGTGTGTGTGTGTGTATAAAACTCTTAGGAGACCTCAGGATAAGACACGCAGAGCTTAAGAAGGAGCTTAAGAAGCCATCCAGTACAACTCCTTCTTTTGACAGGTATGGAAATTGAGGTCTAGGCGGAGTTAGGTGATTTGTCCAAGGTCATTAAGGTAGTAAGCATCAAAGGCAGAATTTAGAGCCAACTCTTCTGGCCCCAAGGCCAGTGCTCTTTTCATTGGAGCACTCTCATTTCCAAATTGTATGAAGTCATGGTATAGGATAGAACACTAGACAGCATAGCAGTATGACTCAACCCTGTCATAGACACGTATGATCATGGGAAAATCATTTAACCTCTTTTAGCCTCAGTTTCCACATCTACAAAATGGGAACAATTATAGCACCTACTTCACAGGGTTGTTGTAAGGTTTCAGTGAGGCAGTGTATATAAAGTAATTTGGAAATCTTAAAGTGTTTATATTGTCACTTAATTTATTATTATTAGATGATAACTCTTGTTTAATAATTAGTTTAAAAAAACACCATCCATCACTTTTTGAGGAGTCCAATGGATAGCAATGGGTATCTAAGGTTTTCTGACTTCTCACACGCACCTACACACAAATGGCTCAAATTAATCAAAGTTATTCTTGCCTTCTCAGTGGGTAGAGGAGAGGGCAGAGACAGGGAATGGGAAGATTTGGAATGGAAAACAAAAATTTTTTAAAAAATTTAAGTTAATAAAGGTTAGCCTCTCTAACTTTTATTAACCTTATTAACAGAAGTTCATGTGAAATGACTAGAGTTTTTAGCTGACTTGTAAACTCAGTGAGTCAAGAAAAAGGGTACTTCAAATTTGTCAGCATTAATGAAGCCTGTCATTCATTACAAGGACTTTTGCAGTGATACTGTACCCTGCATGACCCAGACCATATCTGGAACCCCACTAAAAGCACTGGGCACCACATTCTGAGAGGGATATCAACAGAGTGATGTATGTGCATCCAGAGAACAATGTCTAAGATAGTAAACAGACTTCTTCGTTTGTCCTTCTTTCTGGAAGAGAACCATGACATCAGGAAGGTGGTGCCATGACTTGCAGGTGAATTAGATTTAAGTGCTTTGCTGTGCAAAGTCACTAGCTTCACTTTCTCCTTTGGAGCGATCTGAATCCAGTGTTGAGAAATAGATCAGGACAACCGGAGATGGCCCAGAATGTAATTGGGGACCTTGGCTTTTTTCAGTAAAGGGACTTAAAACTAAGACAAATGAGGCATAGGTAAAGAGACTAGGAATATTTAGCCTTAGAGAAGATTTAAGAAGGACACGATTGCTGTCTTAAAATATTTGATGGGTTGATGGGGAAGAGATCTTGGATAATTTGTGTGGTTTTCAAGAACAGAACTGAGGTTAAATTGAAGCAGATTTCAGTTGCACATGAAAGGGACTTTTTAAAAATTAGAGCCACCTGAAAACGAAAACAGAGCACTTGGTAAGGTACTGAGTGCCCTGTTACTGGACATGTATCAATAGAGGCTGGATGACTACTTTTCAGTTAGAGAAGATTCCTGAGAGGGAGGAATAAAGATGACTTATAATATCTCTTCTACTTCTGAAATCGGTGACCACTTCAATCAAAGAATTAATCAATAAGTGCTTAAGAATCATAGCTGGCATTTATATAGCAATTTAGAGTTTGCAAAATTCTTTACATACATTAACTCATTTGATCCTCACAACAACTTTGGGAGGTGGATGCTATTATTATCTCCATTTTATAGATGAAGCAGTTGAGGGTAGAAGTTTGTCTAGGATTCCCCAGCTAGTAAGTATCTGAGGCAGTATTTGAACTCAGGTCTTTTTGACTTCAAGCACTATATTCTATCTACTGTTCTACCTGTCTAGTACTACGTACCAAATACAAAAATTTTAAAAATCTCCATTCACATGGAAGACTACACACACACACACACACAAACACACACACACACATACACACTCTTATAAAAAAGGGACATGAAACAAATATGTAGAAATCAAAATCAGGAAAAGTCTTTTGTAGGCTGCAACATTTGAGCAGATCTTTGAGGGAAACTAGGGGTTCTAAGAGGGAAAAACAAGTAGGGGCTAGAGCATCTGGCCTGGAAATAAGGGGACTTGAGTTCAAATCCAGCCTCAGACACTTGCTGTATGACCCTGGACAAGTCCCTTTACCTCTGTTTGTCTCAGTTTCCTCATCTGTAAAATGGGGATAATAATAGCACCTACCTCCTAGGGTTGTTGTGAAGATCAAATGAGATAATAATATCTGGCACAGAGTAAGTGTATGTAAATGTCAGCTGCTATTATTAATTATTTAAGGAACACATTGTAAGATTAATAGAAAACCTACTAAACAGTGAAAGAATGAAAGATGGAGTTTCATGTATGCTGAGACCATGAAGAACAACGTATCATGATTCTGAAAAGGTACACTGATGCCAAACCATAAATAATTTAAACAAGAGTTTAAATGTGATTCGAAAGGCAATAGGGAGTCACTGACGTTTACTAAACTCCTGTGACTGCTGTTCAGTAATTTCTGATGCTTCATGACCCCATCTGGGGTACTACAGTGGTTTTCCATTTCCTTCCCCTGCTCATTTGACTGATAAGGAAACTGAGGCAAACAAGGTGAAGTGACTTGCCCAGGGTCACACAGCTAGTAAGCGTCTGAACTCAGGAAGATGACTCTTTCTGAGTCTTGGCCCAGTCCTCTGTCCGCTGCGCCACCTAGCTGACCCAAGTGCCTATGACTATTTGTACTCAATACATGGGTATTGAAAGCTGAGGAAGTTTAAACTAGGAATGTCACTAGATAATGGCCCTTAGGATCAGGTATTTCACAGTTAAAGCACTAGGATCAGCTACCAAAAAGAGTATCTCTGCTGTCGTCAGTGGCAGTATTGTGGTTTCTAGGTCTCCAATGCCAACAGTGATCTGGCCCTCTTCTTTTCACTGAAAATTCACACATGAGCTCCTGTCTGGGTAGAAGGTCTACAGAAATCCTCTCAAGACACGTGTCAGTGGCCTGAGGTCTGCTGGTTTGCAGAGGGTATTTCACCACAGTGCTAGATGACCTTGCCTGCAAGTGATTTCTACCATCATTAAACCTCAAAGGCAACAAGATAAATAGGCTGTCTAACTGCCAGCAACTGGGATGTCCACTTAGCAAAACACACACACACACACACACACACACACACACAAGATTTAATCACAGAATGCAAGGCCTGCAGAGATCACCTAGCTTAATTTAATTGTGTTACACAATAAGACCACAGATTTAGGCCTAGAAAGGGCCTATAAATCCAACTCTCATTTTGAAAATGAAGAAGATGAAGCCCAGCCCAAGGTGAAGTAATTTGCCCGAGTGCATGCACGTATTAAAGGAGTTGACCACAGCAACTTTCAATCCCAGATTTTATTACAAATCCAGCAGTCTTTCCATTGCATCACATTGTTTCCCATACTATCTCCCAGTTTAAATTAAATAAATAAGCCAACTAAATCACAGAACACCACAGTCCTGATGGTATGTGATGTTCAAAACCTGAGACTTCACATGTAGGTGGCCCTCAACCCAAGTTAGATGGCTTCCTTTGTCATTTAAAATTCTTTGCCATCTTTAGAACCACAGAAGATGAAAGGGGTCCTATAAACTGTGTTTCAGAGAAGAGGAAACTGAAGCCCAGAGAAGGGAAGGAAGGAAACACACAATTATTAAGCTGCTATTATGTGCCGGGCCCTTTATAAATATGATCTCATTTGAGCCTTACAACTCTGGGAGGCAAGTGCTATTATTATCCCCACTTTACAGGTGAGGAAACTGAGGTACAGAAAGATTAAGTGATTTGCCCAGAGTCACACAGTTAGTAAGTATCTGCGGCAGGATTTGAACTCAAGTCATCCTGACTGCAGGGCCAGCACTCCATCCACTGCACAGCCAGCTTGCCTTGGTGAACTGACGAAGGTCTCATAGTGAGTTCATAACAAGCGCAGGTCTGTGATTCTGCACTATTCTCTTACCCCCTCCTCATCCCACCCACAATGCCCTAGGTAATAATCTAAGGCTGTAAACTGCAGATGAAGTGCTGATCTGCATTGGGAGAAAGAGTTCTGAGGAATTCCCAATACCAAGAAAATTATAAGTCTGGCTTGAAAAATATAAATTAACATATATCCAATACATTAACATATCATAATTTCTTTTGCCATCTTCAGTTATTGGACATACAGGTTGTAGGAAAGATTTTAGGGGGTTAGGCTTCCACAGCAGGATAAGAAATTCCAAGATCTTGTGGACAGTCCCTCAACCAATCAGAAAGGGCTCCAAACTTTTCTGTAAACAACTAGTTCTTCAGAAAGAGCCCTAGAGGCTAAACCAGATTGAACCAGCCAGGTTCAAGGACAGGGCTTCCACAGGACAAAGGCTTTTCTCCACTGCGCTTGCTTAATAAGCTTACTGAATATGAACTGACACACCCCAACAGTGGAGATAGCTGCCATTTTTGAACATGGGACCCATGAAGTGGGCGGAGCTAACACAACATGGAAGAACATGCGATGGGCTGGCCAGGAAGGGTGTAACTCAGATGAACCAGACCAATAGGAGCCCTGATGGGTGGCGTATGGATCTTAATAACGGTTTAAAAGTTCATTCTACCACTGAACCAGTGCCCACGTGCTACTGAAGTGCCTTGTGTCTGCTTCTCTCACGAAAGCTTAATAAAGACGTTCCTTCACTCACTCACTGTAGTACATTTTTGTTTCAGATTTTTCTAACATTTTTTGCTATTACA